GAACTTGAGCTACAAATTGTCAAACGCGTTTTCATCGGCACCCGATGCACATCGATGTGGACAGCTTATAAAATTACGTATTATTTGTTATGCTCGAGAACAATCTTATATATATGTATATATAAAAAAAAGAAAAAACTATAAACCGTAAAACCGACCCAACAGTTCCGGACAATTGTATCGAGTACCGACACCAATAATAGGTACATTATGAGCACATTATTTTTGAATTCTAATAATAATAATTACGTCGATCGGACGTCGTCGTGGTGTGAATCATTGTAATTTTAGATCCAATTTGCATCCTTAGCAATTTATATAATGGGTATAATCCGTTCTACACGGTGGACGATGGTCGACTAGCTAAGAATAGAATTGTAGAAAGAGAGAAAAAATTAAAATAAACAGCTGGATTAACCGTCTGTTCCGTAGCGGGCGCGATGCCCTGAAGTGCATTGGACCGAATCAAGTGACACCTACACCTAAACTACTTCTCTCTCTCTCTCTCACTCTTTATCTCTCTTTTTCTCTAACACATACCATGAAAAATCGTAACCCGCACTAATTAATAACGCGCCGAACAGTAAAGTTCGTTTTTTCRGAACAATTTCAAATCTGCATGACCTGAACCTTTGTGATATTATTGTTCTAATTAGTAATTATTGTCGTAGATACTCGTACATTTCGATGTTTTTGTTATTATTATCACTATTATTATGATTATAATATAAACGTGAAAATATAACAGACGGCCTTGTCGGAGAGCTGCACCGCCGCACCTCGCTCGTTCGTAAAATTTATTATCGACGGAAACGCATTGTCTCGTATGCTTAGTAAATATTATAAAGACTACGGTGAATGTATGTATATAGTATCATGTAATCTACTGATTTCATCATGTCTTGCCGAGTTGCCTCTAACGACCTACGGGCTGCGAGCCTACGACGTACGCGGACAACAGTTGTTTGTCGTCGGTCGGTCGGTCGCACGTGCAGGTAACGAAAAAAACATATGACCAATCTCGATGAAATCACGATCACGAGGTAAACTTCGTGATGTCACTGACACTTTTGTGTGGGTCACTGCCGGATGCACTAGGTTCTGTGACATTCGGTGATTTTCAAATATACCTACTAATATTATATGTAGTACTTCACCGCGACTACCAAAGTATTCAAGTACTCGACTGTCAAACAAATATATAACATTGTATTACCTCGTCTAGTACGTTTGCCTAATTCGTGTATGTAGATATAACATATAATAAGTAAATCGAAATGTTAAGAAATTATTTTGCAAAAACAAGAAAATTGTCGACTTGAAAAGTTGTATAAGCTTATTTAAAACAGTGTTCTCAAACAGGCAATCGTTATTGAACAAATTCGAAATACTATATGGTCAAAAATATTTACGTACCTGCAAATTTCATTTTATCATTTTTGAACGTTTTCAAAAATGATATCGACACAACTGATACCATACATTTTAACTTAGACAGTAGTCTCTGAAACATAATATAGTATATTATAAATATCAGCAGACCTACACCACAATCCAACAAGATAAATCTACATTCACCGATGATATGGTAATCGGAAAAAAAATCCCCAAAGCAACTATTTAAAAAATTACATAATTATAATAATATACCTAATTAGTATATTCGACTATTAGAGTATGTATATCAGTTGGTAAAAAAAAATAATAAATAGTAATAATGATACATTAATATACATATTATACAGCATAAAACATTTAATTTCTATACAATTATACAAATACATTTAAAACATTAAAATTTTTTAATAAATATGAATTTTTAATTTGTACCAACATATTATTTTATAAGAAATGCACTATAAAATGCATTTAAATTATATTTATTATATCATATATGTAGTTTAAAAATTGGAAAAAAATTGTATATATTGTTTTATTTTTATAGTGTATATAATAATAATATAATATTAGTTAGTTAATCAATAAAAAAATATATATATATATATAATTAGGTATAGTAAAATTATAGTTAGAGATTTTTTTACGGGGATTTTTTTTCCGGGATTCGATGATATAGCCATAACTTGATCTAATGCCGATATAATATTTTCCACAAACAACCTTTAATACAACCTAATCCAGTTACAATAATTGAATAATATGGTTCAGTTTATGGAAAATTAAAATCAACCAAATCAAATCCACCCACATCACCGTTACTCTCAGCCCATAAAATATACATTTTGCATCTACATAACCAATTAATCCCCAAAGACAAATCTGTTAAATACCTAGGTGCACTTCTAAGCAAAAGATTAACCTGGAATAAGTATAGACAAACAAACCGTGGCTTAACTTCAGATTCTATAAAATAATTAACCACTACTTCGATACCAAATCCCTCTAAACAACAAAACATTAATTTACAATTTTACAAATAAATACAAAATCCCGCAATGGCATATGGAATCCAACTCTTGCAAGGGGCCTCAATAAATTTAAACCTTAATTAATATAAGATTTTTCAATTTTTCTTTTCGTGTTTTTTCTAACGCTCCCTGTATAGGTACATCATAATCGTATATGCTGCATTACAATACAATGTATAATGTATATGCTATACATCATGACTTCAACATATAGGTACCAACAATATCTACACTTACTTCATATCACTATACATTTTTTTATAAAAACTCTTTCAATCACACAAGCTCCCTCATATATCTAAACTCTCCTCTCACACATTAAGTACCTGACAACCCTCCCCGTCGTCTTGGATGTAAATGACCACAGAATCTATATTAACTGATATTTAGTATTATACTATACCAAATTACTCCGCTAAGTTTATAAAATGGAAGAAGTGTCAATGTCACGCCGCAGCCGCGTCTATATACCCAATAATTAATGTCACCATATTTACTTATTGTATCGTTAGTTATTGTATACCTACACATTGTATAAATATCTTTTATAAATAATAATTTAAAAAAAAAAAACTTTATTCAGTTTTATAACGCGCACGCTACAGTCAGAAATATAAACGATAAACTTATTTACACCTATAAGAAAGACTTATTGGACCTTGGACACGTTTTGTATATAACAAATATTATATACACATGAGTTGAGGAAAAATATAGTCGCGATCACTTCGACAACCGGACGTAATAATCGCGGGGGACTTGATGCGATTCTTCGCCGTCTGTATTTTGAAAGTTTTGACGCCCCCGAAATGTTTAGACGAAAACGAAACGTTACGAAATCGGTGGACGATGACGTCGCGCGACGCGTAAAGACACCTTGAAAATCACTTTCGAACGTTATTTACTCATTTCACGCGGATGTCATTCATCGTCGGAATGTCTATGACCAAAGTGTAGACGTGTAGTGTGCGCGTATGTGAAGTTAATCATAAATCATAATAATAATATATAATATATGTAACTAAAGTTACGCACGATGACACAATCGACTACGGGCTGGTCAGCTTATATAGGTTTCCGTCCGTTTCCATTAATATTGTAACACGATAACATTTGTACTGTAACGGTGCGAATTCGACCTCTGGTATAATCATTATGGTCGGCGGGATTATGTATTTATGTAAATTTAACACCTTTTAACAGCAATCATATTATACCGGAATAATAGTTTATGCGGTACCTAATATTATACCGACAATTAATAAATAAAAATCAGCAGAAATTTTTGAAAAAGATTTGTGTCCGCCTTTTGCAGCTATAATATGGTAGGTACAATAACAATATAAATTATATATTATGTGTACCTAGATAGTAAACTCATATCACCTCCCCCCCCCTACCCCGGCGAGATGCATCTTATTTAAATTCAGAAAATAAATAGGTATTATATTATAACATATTAGTATAATATTATTTATTGTTCATAACCTAAAATCAAAGTCAAATTTAGCCATTTTTCGATTAATACGCCATCTAGAAAAAAAAATTCTACGGTTTTCAATATTATAGTCGGGTGAATGAAAAGTGGCCGCTGGCAATATGATAGGAACCTTTTTTTTTTCGATAAGCCATGGGTTCTCAAAGTGAATCACGTAAAATGCGATTAATAATGATTAATAATTCAAAATGCGTGCGCTTTTTTCCATAATTTTGCGGTACAATGATGAAAATTCACCGCTAGGTGCGTGGGCATCAGCGGCCACTTTTCATTCACCCGACTATAGAAATAAAAATATTGTTTGATTATTTTTCTTATCTTAATCCGCAGGAAAAATGAATCAAGTCATAATGACAATTAATAATACTCGGGTAAAAAGGAATAAGTCTTATAACTAAAACAATGTTCGTGTAAAATGGAACAAGATGACTTGTTCCATAGTACGCAGTATTGTCGTTAAATAAATAATAATATAAAAATATTAAAGAATTTATAATAATATGCAGTTTATGTTTATTTTTTATTTTTTTGTTTCGTTTACCATTTTATTGTCTGTAACATAATATTAAATACATTATGTAATATTATGCGTATGTGCAGTCAAAGAAATTTACGAGTATAATAATATGCAGTAGGTAGGTACGTACAAATAAAAGTTGTACAATCTCAATAGGTCAGAAGTGCTATATTTTTTATTAGTGTTATTAGTATTATTTAAATATTTTATATCCATCGGTATTAAAAATGTGTTATTCAAAGAATCAATTTGTTTACTAATCAATACCACTGATTTTCATAATTATATACTTCCAATGCTTGATTGTCTACAATACGCGGTATGGTAGCGGAAAACTAGGTAATTGGTATATCTGATTTAATCAAACTAGCTAGTTCATATTGGCGTGTTAAAATTAACGTTATTACCACGATGGCATGTGACCGATAATAGCTAAATGTTGCGTTACCATTTAACATTTACAACACATAAAATGTAATCTTGATTTCGATTTCGATTTCAAAATGTGATATTTTTTTCTAATTTTCAATAATAAATACTGTTTTTTTCTTTACAGATTTGTTTGCTTGTAGATACGTGGTCGTTTGTCAAACACGTGAAATCTGGTAAGTGTTCTTATAATAGATTCTAACCTGTACGAATATATGTATWATATAGTGTATAGTTCGTTAAGATTGTCGACAAAAGTCCAATTGACAGTGAGGACGGGAATAAGTCTACATGTGCTATATATATATATCATGCGATTTCGTATTCTACAAATTTCCAGACACTTTAATATTATGCACTAGCCGTACCTATTTACATTCGTCACGGCGACACGCGAAATATGATAATGATATTATATGTAATACCTACGAAAAAAAAATCGACTTTGCATCGTAATATCGTTAATATTTTTGAGTCACGTTCGGCGTATTAACACAATAATTATACGTGGTCATGAACGAAATCGAGGTTATTAAAATACGTAGTTACAACCAACTTATATAGTTTATACTATACACTGATGAATATGCGTATAGTACCTATATGAATTCATGGTACCTACCTATTTAGAATTTTTTTTTAATGGCCGAGCGTTACATCATTGTCGCGAAGGTGCTTTTTAGTATGATTGAATAGGTAGGCGCACCTGACGATTTTATATATTATGCACCTTATAATAATATTATATTACAGTTTTGTTAATATTATTTTGTGTACAATCGTTGATAATATTTTCGGCAGGGTTTTTGAAAATTTACTGACGAGAATAGTAACCACAAGTTTATATTGTACACTAAGCCTTTTAACAGGTAATTTTTCTATTAGTAAGCGCGAAAAAATTCGATGACTCTTAGGCAAGTACCATAGGTTGGTCAAAAGCTCGTAGTAACAATAATAATATCTTCCAATAGTAATAAAAAATACGCGTTTTGCTATCGATGTATTCTAAACGATGGTTACGAAATAACTGCGAAGTACCTATAGTAAATTATTATTTGAAAAGGCCCTCAAATGCGTTTTTATAATACAAAAAATAATATTTATTTCGTAATTTTATGGTCTTATATAGTTACTTAAAATCAAACAGATGCCTACGTTTTATTTATATGCGATACGTTTTTATTTCGCAATCGTATTTAAATATTCATTATAAGTTATAATGATAATATTGGCGCTGCCGTTAATCCTCCAATATGATATTATCATTCATCAAGGTATTCCGAAAGTATACATATTGTGTGCGGTAATATATTAATGTTAATAGTCAGAATGGTTAATGGCTTAATGGTGCTTGTAATTTTGTTTATTATCATTTCAATTGTACCTACACTATTTTAGATTTCGCTTTTATAATAGTAATATATTTTTTTTACAGTTATCTTTATTAATAATATTTTAATTTGCAAAAACTGGTTTATCGGTTCAATGCCGCTTGTATAATAACACCAGGAATTTCATTTATATATCGTTTTATCACATTAAAAACTCTATAATCAAGATAGTGAAAATCGTGATGCGCCAATTCGCTTGCAACTAAATAGTATAATACACCTATGTGTACACTGTACATCCTGTTTAAAAGTTCCCGTCCACCGCTCTACTGGAGACTATGACTTGTCCATATTGTATATGTAAAAGATAATAATAATTTTATGACAAAGCAACTCGTCGACACAAGGAAATATTGGCACAGATTCCGGGAAAACACTCATCCGGGACGGTTAGGTTAGTTTCTAGTATTATACCTAATTAATGTCATTGCAATCGTTAAATTCGTAGGTACTGACCTATTTTAATTAGTTCATAATCCGTGGGACTACTCACGAAATCGTTTTTCATAATATTAAGCATCATTAATAATTATTAATTTTTTTTTTCCGTTGCCCAACCACACACATGCCTAATGTTACTTATAAGTTATAATATAAAAATTGTATATAAGTAAAAATTTCCAATCTGAAAGGACAATTTTTATTTTGAATATGCAATATATCTGCAATATAATAGATCTATTTGCAGCACGAAGTTGACTTAAAAGTATTTAATATATTATATCGCATTTTCTTGTGTGTGTTTGAAGAACTTCGTGTGGTTTTTCTCAAACGGATCATATCGCTGAGAGCTATTTAACGTACTTTTAAACTATGTACTGGCGAATTTTCAGCCGTTTAACTTTTGAACTTTGTTAAATAATAATAGAGATAATAATTATATAATAATATGATTTACAAGCAGAACGTTTATAATTTATAACATAATATTAATATATACTAAGGTATAATATTAATATTAAAGAGGCTGTCATTTTGATATGATTATATAATAATAAACGCATTATTAAATTATAAATCCACCCACTAATAATAAAAAAGTTTTGTATTTTATAGCGGTGGTTCTCTGTGGGCAGTGACGTATTTAGGGGGGGGGCTAAAGGGGGCGATCGCCCCAGGCGGCATTTTTATAGGGGCGGCATTAGATTTTTACATAACCCATCTTCTGTTAATGAAAATGAAAATGAAAAATATGTGAATTTTAAATATTTATTGTTTTGTAATTATAGTAGTTGATAATAACTAAACCTATTTTATATTAAATATTTAAATGTGATTAATTTATAAAGATAACATAATATTTAAAGTTTAAAATCTGCTTTTTTTTCTAACTTTTGTTCTAAAAAGAATAACGATAACGGGTTGTCACCGGAAAGTAAGCTCCAACGCGCTTGGTAAGTTGAAAAAGTAAAAAAAAAATTTGTGGGAGGGGGGGGGAACATTGGCACCCGGGCGCCAAATTTCTGAATACGTCTCTGTCTATGGGGTACAGTATACTGCTGCGGAAGTTTGAAGTGGCTAACATGAGTGAGGTGCGATAGCGAGATGGATAGATAAATATTATGTTGCTAGAGCATCGAAAAGTTTCACCGACACGAAGTAGTCAAAAGTCTAATCAAATATCAATAGTTTATCGAAAAATAATATATCTATGAAACAAAAAGTCATTGAATTTTAATAGCTTATATAGGTATCGCTTGTGATTCTACAAATCACAGAAATTGTACTTAGCGTGTGACTTGCTTTTTTTCGGTGGCTGTAGGAAGGGGATGAAAGAATAATATATGAAATATGTCGATGTAGTTGATGGAGGATTGTCATCTAAGCTCCGTTTGATTGCCACCATCACTTTGATGGATCGTATGCTATTTCTTACCACACGCTCTCTTATCTCTCTCTCTCTCTTTCTATACGAGTAAACTATTTAAATAATATAATCGTTTTATGCGCAGTTTGATGTAAAATTACCAAAAACAAAAAAGCCACGGGTGGTTTTTATATTCGTCATCGCTGCCACCGCACGAGGACGACACCAATTTATTGCAGTGATATTATTGTATAATATCAAATCTCCTCACGCGTATACGTCTATAGGTACGTGTCATGTACTGCACATAGTAACAGATTTCATTATTCGTGTCGTTTCCGATGTAATCGCATGAATTCCGAAGTATTTAATTTATACTGTTTACTCGGATTTGATTCGCGCCTTGTTTCGAGGTCCGGTAGCATCCCCGTCACTCGCTGCACAGTAGTCGCAGTAATAGAAAATCCACTCTACGTCCACGCCCACATCGTTTAATATTTATAATATATATTATATACACCGGCCATCGATCGCGTAATTAAAATATTATGTATAATATGTATAGTATTGTAGGTATATAATATAATGATATGGTCGGACGTTACACCCTTTCCCCCTCCCCAGACCGCATCGCCTTGTGCAAACAAAATAATATTGTCAGTATTCTTTGTGGAACGCGCGCGGGCAATATACCTATGTGAGATTGAAATATGCCATAATATTATCACCTGCAGCTGCAGCAGTAACGCCCCTGAACGCTATATCATAATATGACGCCGCACGTTTTTCATTTCGAAATAAATATTATACATTAGCATTTAGCGTACACATCAAAAACTCTTTCGCAAGCTCTTAAACTCTTAAAATATAAGCTTGTAACAATGTAATATTATTTTCTTAATTATATCAATTTACAGTCGGACAGCGTCTTTTTTTCTGTTTTAAATTAAAACATAATATATTGTTGTGTGATGCGGAGTCATGAAAGGTTGTTCCTTTGCAAGACACGTTTTATAATATTTTATAGTTGTAGGTATATAGGACTTGGTGTAGAGTGTTACTATATTATATTAAACGTGTCAAATTCGTTTCGATTAACCTCAATAAAACACGATATAGTATACGCTAATAATTCAAAAACTACGGACAAAAATATTCACATAATTTTTTTTTCATCTCCGGTGAAACGTGTTATTGCCAAACATACATGTCAATATTATCATAGAGTTTTTGTCATGAATTTATATATTCAATTTGTTAATGGGATCAAAGGACGTAGTATAATGGATTTTATGTCAAAATATATTGAGACAACAAATATATACATACACTGTAGCTAGAGATATCAAACAGTAAAACTGTTGCAATTTATTTGATATTTTCGTCAATATTTACCATATTATATTTTAAAAAAAAAATTTAAATTTACTTTTCGGCGGACTCGCTGCAGCATATCACCTGCAGGGAAACAATAATAATATAATAGACACAAAGTTAGGCTTTCGTGCGCATAATATTATAGCCCGGTCAATGGTCATTCAATTCCTAAATAACTTGCGAGTATAATATCGGCCTTACGACGTTTATGTCCGCGTAGCGCACGAAGTTATTGACAATATAATTTCAAGTTTCGACCTACGCGGACGACACGTCTCAATAATATATTAAGCATACACACTCATATTTATTGTATATTATTATGACGAAAACAAATGTTCAAAAACTCTAATTCGGTTCCGCACTAAACGCACGTTCCGCGGGCGTAATCGGTCGTTTTGTGTTTTATATCTATTTTATTTTATTTTTTAACGATTTCACTATAAAATGTCCAAAACAATAATCGCCTTCGTAAAGTCCATCGAGCTGGCATTCTCAAACGGTCGAAGGTCGTATTTTTGTTTCCACCTCCCTCATCTCCAACAAAGCGTTTCTTGCACTTTTATACCGGTCGTATATTATATAATTATAATTTGGTTGT